ATGTTTTATCTTTCCTTGATTTAGGTATCAGGATTCTATTTGTCTCATAAAAGGATTCTGGTAGGGCTCTTTCTCAATTTTTCAAAACCCTCAATTCTTAAAACTCTGAAACTTAAAAGAAAAGTAGTTTTCTTTTACTGCTTCTCTTCCCCCCTCCCCCCCACACTTGCTCTTCCTCTCCCCTCTCTCCTTTCCTTACTGTTCTCTGTTCCCTCCTGGTCACTGCCCATCAGATGGCCGAGCTGTCTAGGGAAGGGGATTTATACGTTTGGCTTTACCAGTTTAGTATCTGTTACAGTCTGCTTGGTCTCTCTGTATATGTATGTGCTTCAGTGGGTAACTTGCTTCAGCTGAAAGGGTTTGTGATTTTGCTAGCGTGGGAGGAGAGAGTTTCTCTCCCTCTTGCCCCAGAGCCCCAGGTAACCAGAGGCAGGAAGTGCCATTGGCCACCGGAGCGGTACTAGCCCACTTCAGGGCAACCACCTGCAGAAGGAGGTGGAAAGCCCTTCTGCAGAGGATGCCGGCGATCTCTGGGACTGAGCCCTTGTGGCAGAGAGAAGTGTCAGCTTCGCACCGGGCAGATGGGCCGGGCCACTCCTCAGCAACTCCCAGCTTCTGCCGAGGGCGGTCAGAAGTGCTCCGTGACGGGAGAAAAGGACTCCCAGGAGCCAGAAGCTGAGCTTGCCCGTGGACTGCACCTTCCTTACCTGTGTGCTCACTCCCATCCTACTCTGTCTGAATCTCCCAACTCCAGACGTGTTGTCCCATGTCCCCTGTGCCCGGAATGCTCCCCCTCCCCATCTCTGCTTCCCTGCCTTTAAGTCCCAGCTCAAACCCCACTTTCTCCAGGAAGCCTTCCCTGATTCCCCTGCATGCCAGTACCTTTCCAATGCTGATTGTTTCAGTTTGTCCTGTACACACCGTGTTTGTCCGTACTTGTTTTCATGTTGTCTTCCTCGTCAGACTGTGAGCTCTGTGAGAGAAGGGACTTCTGGCTTTCTTTGTGTCCCCAGCACTTAGCACAGTGCCTGGCACGTAGCAGCCGCTTACCAAATGCTTCCTGACTGAACCCACTCTCCCCAGGTATGCTGTGTGTGCCCTGGTTTGGTTGTGAGGGGAGGGGGGAGATCTTACTGTACCACCTTCAATACCACTTCTGAAGCTAATTAACTCTGCCTGACCAGTAGTAAGCACAACAGTGGGAACAGCACTAGAAAACCTCACTCACCTTTTGAGGGTTAATCCCAGAACTGTAAAGGGAGAAACATTCGGGACTGCCCTACGGGGCCTTGGCCTCCGGATAGGAGCACAGGACAGGGGAGTGGCCCAGAGAGGGTGCTTCCATTAAGGACAGATTTTGACCTGGTGTGTTAAAATGAAATGGAGCATACCTAGAGTTCATGTCCTCCAAACTAGAGTACGTTCTCCCCAAATAATAATGGCCAGAGTAAAGGAGTTAGGAAGCCTCGGGTTCCAATCCTGCCCCTGTCACATGGTAACTGTACGATCACGGGCCTCAGTCACCCCCTCAGGGCCTCAGGTGGCCTCAGAACTGAAGGGGGGCTGCAGACCTGCACGAGTGCCCTACATTGGTAGAATCAGTGATGGTGACTTTTCTGAGGGCAGGGACCTTTTCACCTTTGTCTTTGTAAAAGAGCATATGGTGCCTGTCTTGTAGGCACTATGTAAATGTTCTCCCTCCCAAGCATTCAGCGCCATGCCTGGCCTGTAGTGTTTAATAAATGCTCCATGACTGAATAAAAAAAACACTCCAGTAACAACAGCTGGCCTTCTCCGTGTTCCATTTGATCTTCTCAGCAACACTGTGACAGAGGTACCCGAGGTTTCTTCATTTTGTGGAAGAGGAATCTGACTGCCCTTGCCCAAGGTCATTGGCCCAGGCAGGTGGAATTCAAACCCTGGTCTTTTGGACTCCAACCCAATTCAAGAAGCCCGTAATAGGGCATTGGGCCAGGCCCTGTGATTGATAAGTGCTGTCAATATGGAAGCCGTTGCCTTCACCCGCCCCTGACATTGTTCTCCAGTTCCGGCATAGGGGGTGGAGTAACGTAGGTGCAGTTTGTGGGTCTACTGCTACCCCAGGACCCTTCCTCTGCTACCTTGGAGAGCCGTCAGTGTGACTTGCGCCACCGGTACGGAACCCTCTTTCCCTCTCCCTCTGAAACGAGTCGTGGAGGGCAGCACCACTTCTCCACACCAGTTTTAAAAGGCAGCGTTTGCTCTGGAGCACTAATTCCTAGCCCTTCTGGCGTGGCTACATCTTGTTGCTTTAAGTAAAGTGGAGAGAGTGCTGGGCCTGCAGTCAGGAAGACCTGAGTTCAAATCCAACCTCAGGCACTTACTAGCTATCTGATTCTGGGCAAGTCACTTAACCACTGTCTGCCTCAGTTTCCCCAGCTATAAAATGGTGATAATAATGCACCTACTTCCCAGGGTGGTTGTTAGGATCAAACAAGATATTTGCAAACTACTTAGCACAATGCATCGCACACAGTAGGCACTTAATAAATGTTGACTCTTGACACATCATGGGTAGCAATAAAGCGCACAGGCTATTATTTGTTGCTCTCACTCCATGATTAGCCCATCTCCATTTGTAGTCAAATAGTTTTTTGATGACATATTTTATGAAGACATCGTTGTCCTTAGCAATGCTTTCCAGAGTCCTTCCGAAAGGGTCACTTGTGTTGCATTCTTTCTGCCTTTGTCATCCTTTATTCCTCCCCAGACGTTCCTCAAACAGCAGCCTGCCTCTGGTCCTGCCTCTGGAGTTTGTTTACCCTTGCTCTTACTATTATTATTATAATATCATTATCACTGATGAAGTTCTGCCCATGCCCAGTGCAAGCTTTGGGAAGGATGCGCCTGTGAGTTGGAGATGGTCTTGCTGGCCTTGTGTATTAGGGGCCTCAGTTCTCCCTCAGTTATTATGACCGGAGTCCCTGATAGTTGGAGATTCCAGCGGCATTCTGGGGCCTCCTGCCCCAAAGTGATCACTTCCTTTGCCCCAGTCCCTTCCATTTGGTCTCCTTACAATTTCCTTGGGGAAAGATGCTGGGAGAAGACGCCGAAGCTCTTCGTTTCCAAATGATAACGCTGGAAACGAGCAAGATTGTTTCTGAAACTTTGGAAGGCCATCCTTGGACCCAGCCCTAACTCCTCACCCTTCCCACTGCCTCCCTCCCTCCCTCCCTCCCTCCTGCAGTTCTCGTGCCCTAATAATGCATAAATTCAGCCATTTGCAACCTCCCAAATACCCCAACTTACGCACTAAATTATAATCAGGACAGTTGATGGTCCGCACAGTCTTGTGCCTTTGCACAAACCCCCTGAGACCAAACTCTTCTCAAGCCCTGTACACCTCCACTGTTTCCAGAAGCCTTGGATGCCTGACAGCCAAGCTGGCTGACTGGTCGTTGGGACAAGATAATAGTGACTGGGCAGGAAATATTTTTTTTTTAATATACCCCCAAGTGTTACTCCTGTGCTCCTGACCTAATGACTAACACGTTTTGAAAAACAGATAGTTTTATTATATTCATGATATTTTAGGCTTTTCAAAGCATCTTTATACACACATTTCAGCCTTCTGGTACTGTTGGGGAAGAAGTTGGGAAAGTGCTTTTATTCTCAAATGAAAGATGAGGAAACTGAGGAAATGACTTGCCCAAGGTCATATAGTAAGTGATAAAGCTGGCTCTTCACTCCCGGTCTGGCTCCCACACTGGGTCCCGCCATTGTTCATGTCCTCCAAACCCTGCCCTTTGTATAAGGGAGACTACATTTGAATGGAGTGACTTATCTCTCAAACAAAACAGAGCCTCACCTCATGTAGCATCAAAGGGCTGGTTGGTTGCTGTCTTTCTTCCCCCAGGCCCATTCTTCCACATACCTCTACCTGCTGCCCTTCACTCCACTCGAACCCAGGCCCATGCTTCAGCCTCTCCTTCCCTGCCTGGTAGGCACCACCCAGACTTTTCCTACACTGATCAGCCATACGGAATCTGAGATAAAGGTGTTAAGAGCTTACAAAATAAATATCACCTGTAGCTTTACAGTTTGGGGGGGGGGGGATAGAGGAGAATTCCTTCATTTGGCATAATTTTAACTTAAAGTAGTCAATCTTTAATGGTGAATTTCAGCAGATTGGTCCTTTGATACATCCTTCTCTGACACTCCTTGAATCACATGGGAGTCAAAAAAGAGATCTTTTCTGTCTTCACTCAGTCTTTAAGATTGATTGAGTGTGGTCCTACTGAAGTCACCCTGCACCTGAGCCCTAAGGCCATGGGAGAACTGAAGAGGGTCTGGTCAGGTGGAGAGAGAGCCTAATCCACCCACCCACAGGGGTCCTCAGGATGCATCTTCACTCTTTCCATTCTTAGTGGCTGGCCATAGGAAGTCCCTGACCATGGCCAGTGGATGTGGACAGAGAGAAATTCCAGACCCCTGCCACCTAGAAGTGTCTTTTCTCAATCTCCAGTTTATGGAGCTGAAAAACAGAACCGTGACATTATCTTCCCTCCTTTCCCCATCCCACCCCCATAATTCCATAAATCCAGGCATTACTATTTATTTGTATTTTTCACGGCATGTTTTATATGATGAGCATTTGAATATGATGTGTTTCTTTGTGGAGGTTGGTTGGTTTTAAAAGTCACTGGTGTTTGTGGTAAGAAAGGTAATAATGCCACCAAACTGTCTCCCAGCACACCAAGAAGCAGCTGGGCGTTGTGAAAAGGGCACTGGGCTTTGCTGCCAGAGGACCCCAAATGAAGCCAGCTCTGAGCCTTCCCTACTGTGTGACCTTGGGCAAGTCACAACCTCTGTCCCCTTCTCTCTCAGATGAGGCATTAGAACCAGAGGATGGATCACTAAGGGCCCTTTCAGTTCCGAGTCTGAGATTAAGGAATATGCAGTACAGTCTGGGGACCAGTTATTATTCTTTTCCTCCAAGTACGGCAAAGGAGAGACTGGACTAGCATTGAAACAGGAAAGATTTATGGAAGATAATTCAGTTTTCAGTCTAAACTAGGAGGGAGAGCTTGGAACAGACTCATCCTGGGCCATTTCCCAGGGGATCTTTTTTGGAAATAAAACCATCTTTATTAAAAGTGATAAGGTACAACATAAGTCATGGCGCAGCTAAGCTACTACTGGAGCTTGAGTGGCTGTCTTACTGGTTCTGCTGTCTGTTTCTTGAAAACATCTTGAAAACACTGAAAACAGCGATGCTGGCAACACCCAAAGCGCCAGCTATCCCGGCTCGCACGAGGAAATCTGTGACCTGTGAACAGAGAGGAAGGCCGTGGTCAACAGGGAAGCCTGCTCCCCTCCACTTCAGCCAAATGCTTTGCCCTGGCAAGCTTAGATTTGGCTCTTGGCTCCCTTGGCCAAAGTAAAGAATCAACAGTTCCCAGGACATGATGCAGGGACATTTCAGTCACACAGAGAGGGAGGAGTAGAATGGTCAGCGTAGGGATAAACCAAACAAAACAGAGGCTGTGAGGGGGCAGGAACCGTTATCGGTTTTAACCTTGTGGCTACCCATCACAACACTGAAATTCACCCATTTTTGTCAATCTCCCTTCCCCCATCTCAGTCAACCCCTAGAGGTAAGAAGCAGGGGTGATGGGCATGTGAAATTGATAGGCGACTCTTGAGGGAGAAGAAGAGGCAGGTGAGGAGGGGCTTCCTAGGGCAATCTAGAGAAGATGACCTTGACAGATAGAGGGCATCCTATGGGGTCTGTGAAGCTATTTTTTTTTAATGTTTTCTAAATTTTCATTTTTTATTAGCATTCTTTTTTTAAAAAAATTTTGGAGTTTTAAATTCTCTCCCTCCAGCCCCTCCCCACCAATCAAGAAGGCAAGTAATATGATGTCAATCATACATGTAAAATTAGGCAAAACATTTCTGGATTAGCCATGTTACGAAAAAAAAGAGGCAAGAAAAATAGTTTAAAAATTATACTTCTGTTTTGTGCAGCTAATTTTGTAAATGCCGTAACGAATAGTATAGTGGGTCTGATGAAAATCAAGGGCCTGTATAACACAAGGGACACACAAGGGAGCTCTCACCCACTAGCATTATATTCAGGGTAATAAATCCAACAAATAACATTAGGGAAATCGTTACTTGCCACCCTTTAGCCATGATTGATGTGTCAGTTCTAGTAGGTTATGAGTCACAGACTAGAAGGAAGCCAGGGCAGATGTTGGAAACATGCTCACATAGAGACTGGATCGCTGCAGTCCTACCTTCTGCCAGAGTCCTTTCCCAGCCCCCTCCCCCCAGCTGCTGATGTCTTCCCCACTCAAACTGCCGTTCATCTACTGTGAATATATCTCATACCTAAGGCATTGTTGGTGGAGTTGTCAACTGATCCAACCATTCTGGAGAGTAATTTGGAACTATGCCCAAAGGGATATAGAAATGTGCATACTCTTTGACCCAGCCATAGCACTTCTAGGGCTGTATCCCGAAGAGATCATACAAATGGGAAAAGGACCCACATGTACAAAAATACTTACAGCAGCTCTTTTTGTGGTGGCCAAGGATTGGAAATTGAGGGATGCCCATCCATTGGGGAATGGCTGAACAAGTTGTGGTATATGAATGTAATGGAATACTATTGTGCTATAAGAAATGATGAGCAGGGGGACTTCAGAAAAACCTGGAAAGACTCATATGGTCTGATGCCGAGTGAAGCGAGCAGAACCAGGAGAACATTGTACACAGTAACAGCCACATTGTGTGTCCTCAAATGGGAAAACTGAGCTTGACGAGAAGGCCCATGCCTCGGGGCAGGCAGACAAGCCTTCGTCCCCTGGGCACTGTGCTCCCAGTTGTAACCCCATGGAAATGCCCTGCCAGCCTGCAGACGCACCTGGTCGCTGAGAGGGATTCCATATCTCAGCTCATTCACAAAGTGCTCACAGTTCTCACTGGTCAGTTTGTAGAGGACATCCTTCCCCACCTCCTCCAAAGCCCGCTGGACGATCTTGCTGGGTGGCAGCGGCGGGTACCTGTTGTCATGTTTGTTATTCACCTGGTACTTGTCAGTCCCGACCACCACATGGAGCGGTTCCTTCTTCACTGTGGCTTTATCTGTCAGGGCTGACATGATGCTAGAGGCACCAGCCCCAGCATATTCACCTTTCAGACAAAAAAAGAAGAAAAAGCACACCCAGGGAGGTCTTTTTTAAGCAGCCCCACCCAAGTTGGACCCAGCGGTTCCTCTAGTCCCATGGCTCTGACAGTGTCACAAAGGGGCCAGTTGTGGGATGATCTCGCTGTCCCCCAAAATCAAATTTGGGATCTGCCCAAGTGGCTTCATCAACCAAATATGAATCTGTCATCTGTAAACAGAGATTCTCCTTAACAGTCATCTAATCAGCTAACCTTCTGGGGTCTGCCCCCTCCCCAACATATACAACCTCGCAAAGCCCAGGTGCTTCTTACTTGGAGGTGCCAGGTGGACGACATAACCATCACCCACATAAACAGCCCAATGACGGTAGCACGTTCGGAAAATCTCAATCAGGTCTCCAGGTTTGGGCTCTTGCTACAAAACCACAAACCAAGGCCAGGTTAGAAGCTGCATTTGGAAATGGAGAAAGATGAGAGAGCATGTTCCAGGGGGTCTGGGACAAGCCACAAAAGTATTCATCAAAGGAACTAGGGGTGTTGAATTTATGGAACAGAAGACTTAGAAGGGACAGGATATATGGGGAGCCAAGGTGGCAGAGTACAGGCCAGGATATAGGTGAACTCTCCCAACATTCCCTCCGAACAAGTTTAAATTATGCCTTAAATAAAATTTTGGAGTAACAGAGTCAACAAAAGGGCAGAGGGTGCTGTTTTTCCAGCCTAAGACAACTTGGGAGGGCTGTAACACAGCAGGGGGGCTTAGAGGCAGTTGTGATGGCAGCAGCAGTTTCAGGAGCTCTCAGTCCAGAGACGGTAAGGAAGGTCAGACAACTGGTCAGAAAGAGATTATAAGGGACCCTTTGCTGGTACTGGGTGAAGCAGGCACTGATTGCAAACTCTGTTTCCCCTCAGTAGCTCTGGGTTGAAATTCTCGGGCAGAGAACAGTGCTTCTGGTTGGTTACAAAGGAGCAGTGGCCCTGGTCACAGTTCCAAGGCCAAGAGGAGCATTGTTTCATGCAGCTACAAGGAAGCAGGGGTCCTTCCTGGGTAAAGATCAGAGCAGACCGGGAGGGCAGTGACTACACCTCTCTCAGGCTCACACCACCTTGGAAGCAGACCCCCCAGAACAAGCTCTGAAAACAGCTGTACAATAAAGCCTAAAGCTTGGTACATGCCTCTTCACTCCCAGATGAGCAGAGCCCAACTTTAACATCAAGTTCAAAGTAAGAAAATAGGCTGAAAAAATAAGCAAACAACAAAAAAAGAACTTGACCATAAAAAACTACTATGGTGGAAGGGAAGACTAAGACATAAACTGAGAAGAAAATAATAATGTAAAAACAGTTACAAGCAAAAACTGGAAGAAAAATGCTAATTGGACCCAAGGCCGGCAGGAATTCCTGGAAGAGTATAAAAAAGAGATCAGTCATAGAGGAGAAATGGGGGGGGATGAGAGTGATGCAAGAAGATTATGAAAAGAGAACTGATAAAGCATAACAAAAAAAAAAAAAAGCACATTCACTAAAGAAAAGAACTCCTTACGAAAATGTTCTTTAAAAATAGAATAGGCCAAATGGAAAAGGAGGTACAGAAATTCACTGAACAAAAGAACTTAAAAATTAGAATTGGGCATGTGGAAGCTATGACTCTATGAAACATTAAGAAACAACAAAACAAAGTTAAAAGAATGAAAAAATAAAAGAAAATGTGAAATATCTCATTGGAAAAACAATTGACCTGGAAAACAGATTCAGGAGAGATAATTTAAGAATTACTGGACTACTTGAAAGCAATGATCCAAAAAATAAAAATAAAAAAGAGCCTACATATCATATTTCAGGAAGATTGCCCTGATACCTTAGATACCGAGGGTAAAATAGAAATTGAAAGAATCCACCAATCACCTCCTTAAAAAGATCCCAAAATGAAACCAGGAATATTATAGCCAAATTTCAGAGTTCCCAGTCAAGGAGAAAATATTGCAAGCAGCCAGAAAGAAACAATTTAGATATTGTGGAGCTACTATCAGATTCACACAAGATTTAATGACTTCTACATTAAAGGAGAGGAGGGCTTGGAATGTGATATTCTAGAAGGCAAAGGAGCTAAGATTACAACCAAGAATAACCTACCCAGCAAAAGTGAGTATAATCCTTCAGGAGAAAAATGGACATTTAATGAAATAGAGGAATTCTAAGCATTCCTAATGAGAAGACCAGAATTGAATAGAAAATCTGATATTCAAACAGATGACTCAAGAGAAGCATAAAAAGGTAAACCCTGAAATCATAAGGAACTCAATAAAGTTAAACTGCATACATTCCTATATGGGAAGATGATACATGTAACTCCCAAGAACTTTATCATTATTAGTACAGTTAGGATTCTGCATAGACAGAGGACATGGATGTGAGTTATGTTGGGATGATCTCAAAAAAAAATTAAGCAAGAAGAAAGAGGGAGGTACTGGGAGAAGGGGGAAAGGAGAGGTAGAATGGGACGAGCTCGCCTGTAAAATGAAAGCAGAAGACACCCACAGAGTTAAAATAAAGGGCTGGAGAAGAATCTATTATGCTTCAGCTGAAGTAAAAATAAAAAAAAAAAAGTCAGGGGTAGCAATCATAATCTCAGACAAAGCAAAAGCTAAACCAGACCTAATTAAAAGAGATAATCAGGGAAACTACATTTTGACAAAAAGGTACCATAGACAATGAAGTAATATCAAAAAATTTACAGCAAGTTTCTCTGATGAAATCCTCATTTCTCAAACATATGGAGAACTGAGTCAAATTTATAAAAAAACGAGCCATTTCCCAATTAATAAATGATCAAAGGATATGAATAGGCAGTTTTTGGAAGAAGAAATAAGCTATCTACAGTCATGAAAAATGCTCTAAATCACTACTGATTAGAGAAAGGCAAATTAAAAGAACTCTGAGGTACCACCTCACCTATCAGAAATGACAAATGTTGGAAGAGATGAGGGAAAATAGGTACATAGGTACACATAGGTACTGTTGGTGGAGTAGTGAAATGGCCCAACTGTTCTGAAAAAAAATCTAGAACTATCCCCAAAGGGCTATAAAACTGTGTATACCCTTTGACCCAGCAATACCATTACTAGGTCTGTACCCCCAAAAAGATCAAAGGAAAAGGGTCTATATGTACAAAAAAAATTTTAGAGCAGCTCTCTTTGTGGTGGCAAAGAATTGGAAATTAAGGAGATACTCTACAATTAGAGAATGACTGAATAAGTTGTAGCATAGGATTGTGATGGAATATCGTGTTATAAGAAATGATGAGGGGAGTGGTTTCAGGGGGAAAAAATGGCAGGATCTATATGAACTGATGCTAAGTGAAGTGAGAAGAACCAGGAAATCATTGTGCACGGTAACAGCAATGTTGTAATGACAGTCAACTGACTTAACTACTCTAATCAATACAATGATCTGTCCACCTCCAGAGAGAGGGCTGGTGCATTCTGAGTGCAAATCAAAGCATAATTTTCTCACTTTATTTTTTTTTTCCTTTTTTAAAATATAGCTTATATGAAAATATGTCTTGTATGATTTCACATGTATAACTGATAGCATATTGTTTGCCTTCTCGGTGGGTGGGAGAGTGATGGGAAGAAGGGAATCTGAAACTTATAATTTAAAAAGAAAAGAAGTGATAATTTTTAAAAAAATAAAATTGAAATGGACAATTTCAGAGGAAGACTTTTGTGACTTTAAAAGACTTTAAAATTGTGATCGATACAATACAAAACTATGAGTCCAAAAGAATGAAGATAGAACAGGGCACTTGCTAGCTGACAAAGAGGTGCTGAAATTAAACTACAGAGAGAAGGAGGAAGAGGAGAAGGAGAAGAAGAGGAGGAGGAGGAGAAATATGACAGCTGCCTTAGAGGATTTTACAGGCCATGGGTAAATGGAGAGATCCCTAGTCTTTGGAACTGGTTCAGATCCTGCCTTGGCTACTCCCTACCTTTGTGTGACCCTGAACAGATCACCTCCCCGGTCCACAGTTTCCTCCTCTGTAAAATGAGGGGGATTTGGACCTGTAAAATATTTCTTTTATAAAAGAATTTACATCCTTTCATATAAGGGGGAGTATGGGAAGGTTTACTGAAGGCCAAGGCCTTTGGAGACCCCAACCCTACCACAGCCTTGACAAGTGGCCCGACTTCCAATCCTGTCTCAGATTTTTCCCAGCTGTGTGACCCTGGCAAAGTCCCATGGAGGCTCAGTTACCTTGTCTGTCATGGGAAGGGGCTGGCTCAGTAGCTTCAAGAACCCTTCTGGTTCTTCATCTTCCTCTGCCTGGCTGCTGTTTAAGCACTTGAAACCTCGGAATACGGGCCCCCTAAATGTCATCTGCCTGAACATCCCCATTTCTTCTATCATGACCCTTTGCCCTCTCCCCATTCCAGGGCTTATCGTTGGTCCTCTCAAAATACACAGCCGAACACAAGGACCACAAAACGATATGTAAACGTGAGTTATGCTTCTTGTCCTTACTAATCATCATAGCCTTCCTCCGTGCAGCCTTGACAGGGGCCTCTCTCCTCCAGCTTCCACCTGGGGAAAGGCCTCAGGGCACTGAGGTCCCGGGTCACAGGACCCCATCTGGAAGCAGCCTCAGAGGCCACAACCCCTCAACTTACAGGGAAGGAAACAGGCCTAGACAAGTGATGTGGCCTGGGCGGGTCCCCGACTGGGACATGTCAGAGGCCCCACCCCAACCCAGTCTTATCACCACGCTATCGCTAATAGGTTTCAACAATTAGAGATGAAACCGAGTAATGGTTTCTGACTAATCAGTTATCCAGAAAATTGAATTAACCAGAACAATGCAGGGAATGCCTTCCCTCATTAATTATCTCCACCTTATCCTGCCTCCTCCATTTATTTGACTGTGAGCTCCATGAGGTCAGGGACGCTGGGATTGCCTTTTTCGTTCTGTACCGTCTCCTCCTTGGCACGGTACACATAAGAAGTGCCTAATAAATGCTTGTTGCCTGACTGAGGGTGCGTTTCTTGAGCATTTCAGTTAAGGTGAATTAAAGTGGAAAATGTTGCTGCTCTCAGCTTCCAGAAAATCACTGCCTCATTGACTTTGGAATGGAAACCAGGCAAATCCTTCCTCTCACTTCTCTCTTTTTACCACGTCCAACTTTCTGGGGAAACTGTCTCTGATCGTTCCAAAATTGGAAAGACAGTGCAGACATGGGCAGTTCTAGAAGTCAGAGGGTTGGGGTTTTTTCTCCCTTTAGAGAAGCTGGAGTTTAGATCGACCCATTTAGGGAGCGTAAAGCTGATCGAGCGGAGGCCATGTGCCAGGCCCTCCCAGTGATGAGCAGCTAGCTTCCTTGGAGTCGAACACCAGGGCAGCTGTCATCCGTCACCTCCTTCTTATATCAGGGCATGTGCCCAGACTTGCCATTGGGGGTGATACTAAAGCAGGCAGAGGGGAGAGCCTTGTTACCCAGAACATGTCTTGTGTTGTGATGCCCTCTCCCTCCCCTGCTATCTTGCCTCTGATCCAAACAGGGAGGATCCAGGGTATCACCCTTTCCCTACTGCTGTGGTAGTACAAGCACAGGCCTGTAAGGCCCTCCATGGTGACCATGGGGAAAGCAACTAAAGGTCAGACCTGGCCATTGCTAAGCAAAACTGTGAGGGAGGCAAGGTTTTTCTTTGACCTTACACTGTCTTTTGGGATATGATGCAGTGTTTGCCCAATTCCTGCCAATTCCCACAAGCAGAAGATGACCCAAGCCCTCAGCTGGCATCTTTCTCTACTTCCCTCAATCAAAAAACATGCCCTCAACTATCTATAACTCATATAGGGTATAAGTGAATCCACAACAGGAAGAAAAACTAATTCAACTAGTTCTCAGTAAGGTTATCACAACCAATGGTGGCTTAAATTCTCATCCCTTTCCCAGGAATTTCCTTACCAGGGGCACATAGTCTTAAGTCAAAGGAATGAATCTCAAGGGGCAGCTAGGTGGCGCAGTGGATAAGAGTACCGGCCCTGGATTCAGGAGGACTTGAGTTCAAATCCAGCCTCAGACACATAACACTTACTAGCTGTGTGACCCTGGGCAAGTCACTTAACCCCATTGCCTAGCCAAAAAAAAAAAAAATAAAAAAATACAACAAAACAAAGGAATGAATCTCTAATAATGAAATTTCTCAGGATGGTGAATCCTGACATGTTTGGGCAGAGAGCCCTCCTGGTTCCGTCAGATTCCCCTATGTGGACCAAGTCTACTCCACATTTTTGGAGGTCCCCTGCAGCACCCCACCTCCCCACTCTGGCTGCTGCCATGGCTGCCTGGCAGTATCCTCCCCAACACCAAAGTTATCTCTGTCCTACAGTACATGCTGCATTTTGCCTCTGGTGGGAGTGATCACTTTGCAACTTGTCCTCTCAATCAGACAGTAAGTTCTTGGACATACTATCTTTTCTGCTGTCCTCTGAGGCTTTACAGGACCTCACCCTCACAAATCAGTAGAATGGGAAGGAGAGATTAGAAAACACCCTCCTTTCTTTATAGTAGCAGAGGCCTATGGACATGATGGAAATTCTGACATCCTGTGCTCCAGGACCTCCCCACCTTTGACATCCTGTTCTAAGAGCCCCCTACCTCTGACATCCTAGCTCTGACATCCTGTGCCACTCTCCTCTGGGGTCAAGCAGAACAGGACTGACATCTTGTACCTTAAGACCAACCCCCCCAGCTCTGACATCCCCATTCTGACATCCTGTGCTCTAAAACCCCCCACCTCTGACATACCATGCTCTAAACCCCCCCCCCAGCTCTGACATTCTGATCCAAGTTTCACCCACACCTCCCAGCTCTCATACCCTGTGTTGTATTCACAAAAATGAAAGTCCTTTTTTTAAGATCAAGTTTCGTTCTCCTTTAGTCCTCAGGGAAACCAAAACCAAAACCTGGAAGGGTCTAAAGTTCTGGTCAGCACGGGAGTTACCAGGACTGTTCAGATTAGCTGCTGGGCCATTTGATCTGAGGCTCGTCTGTTTCCCCGACCAGTTGTTCTCCCAATTCCATGAAGCGGGGCCCTTGTTCTGGCTGCTGCACACCCATTCTGTGCTCTTCCTAAAGGAAGGTTCTATTTCCCTGCTAGCACTGTCTTTATCCAGTTCCTTTCTATGCCCCCATTGTCCTCCGAACCACCCCACAAATGAATTCCAGATCCTTCCTTTGAATAATCGGCAGATTCTGTGCCTTGTTGGGAAGCCACCAGTGAATGCCTGCCTGGTAAACAAAATGAAGAGAGACTGGTCTCACGCTCCAAATGGGGCCAAGGACCCTCAAGAGCGTCTTGGCCTTAGGGTTTACCAAGCTCCTCTCCCCTCTAGTCCCCGCCAAGCACAAATCCTTACTGTACCTACTTACAAAGGCTTTAAAAGTACCTACTTGCATCTCTGTCCTCCTTCAGGGTCCGGTTGTCACTTCCGTGGCGTTGGGGGATTCCTAAGACAGAAATGGCAAGAATTTCTAGTGTCAATAAGAAGAAGCAAGAATAGGAAGCATTGGTGGTCACAGGGGAGTGGACGGCTGGACCCTGCTGCTCGGCACTGGGGAAGGCTCAAGGTTTGCCAGAGAACCTCTTAGGACAGCTGTTCTCCATCCCTCCCCCTCCTAGTCCCATACGGACCACTGAGCGGAGAGGGGCTTGGCTACCTGAAGGGCAAAGGGCTGAGGCTCCCACCCGGTACGCTCGGGGCTCACTGATAACAGCTGCCTGTGCCGATGGAAACCTGCTGACCTCGCCACATTCTGCCAGAAAGTGCTGCCTCCCCCCACGGGTGGGGAGGTGGGAGAGCCGGGCACTGCCCTCGGTGTGGCTGGACAGCACTGGGTGGTAGGCAGTGATACCTGTCCTGCCCCTCTCCCCTGCCTGTTCGTTCCAGTGCAAAGATCAATCACCTTAAAGCCGTCCCCTGGAGTACCCAGAGGACACACACAGACACGCACAGACACGCACACACAGAGCACGGGGCATCCCATCTTGGCCATCCCACCTGTGCTTCCTGGGCCCTGACTGATGATCCAGAGCGGCAAGAACCCCTCCAGCAGGCAGGAAGTCTGTAGGAGGCCCCAGCGCACAGCTGCGGCTGAGGTTACCCTGACTCCACCCAGACCAAGGAGAGCAGCTTCGGCAGCTAAATCGAAACTCACCTCAGCGGCGGCACAGGGCACAGGCAGCCTCCTGGTGCCCTAAGAGGGGAGGAGGGGGTGCTGGGGGGCCAGGGGGACCCCGGCTCTGGCCCAGGAAAGGGCTCTTCAGCTTGGGACGTTAGCTAGTCTGGAAATTTCCCAGTTAGCCCCGGGGCTGTGGCTCCCATCCTCTGGAGCTAGCCATGGGCGGGGTTGGCTCTGCGCTGGCACAGCCCACGTGGTGTCTGTGTACTGACCCAAGCCTCATCCTTACAGCGCCTCCAGCTTCCAAGGTTGTCCTGCGCTGAAGACTTCCTGGGTTCCTTGGTGAATCTCACAGCTGTGCTCTAAGGACATCCCCACCCCTCCTCCCTGCCCCCTTTAATCTCATACCTTCAGAAGCCCCCTGTGTAACAGCCCTGACAAGTGGTCATCTGGCCTTGGCTTGAAGACCTCTGGGGATGGGGAGCTTACCACCTACTGAGGCAGCCCTTTCTACTCCTGGGCGGCTCTAATTGAGAGAGTCTTTTCCCCGACATGGAGCCGACATTAAGCTGAGTCGGAATCAAGTCATGGAGACTTTTAAATGCAAGACCGGGGTTTGTATTTTATGTTAGAAGCCTCTTGAGCAGTGGAGAGAAGTGCTTGGCACTGCCCCTGAAGGATATCACAAATCCTAACACATCGGAGCTGGAAGCGACCCAGAAATGTGGGCTTCAGGAGAGCAGAGGACATGGAGTCTGACCCAGACAAAGGATTTGCTCACACACTTAAAGCAGAGGTCTCTGACCCTCCAGTTCTCTTTGCACCTCACCATGCTCCTCATTCAGTTCCCAAGTCTTCCGAGGGCAGGTAGCTTAAAAAGAACCAGAAGCAGGTGTGGGCGGGCAGACCCACACTGTGGGCTGGGGTGTCTTTCAGAACCTCGGCTGTCTGTGGGCCTCTCACTACAGGCAGGCTAAATATAGGACAATGCAGCCACACGCTGTCTGCCAGCCACAGAGAAAAGATTGACGTATACCCAGCACTTTGCCCTTTTTACCGGGCACAGAAAACACCCTGGAGACCTCTTGCCAGCACCTTCGTCATCCACGTTTGCTTGTATCCAGAGAGCTAGTCAGAGGCAGGGAGCTGCCTTTAGGGGCCCATCCCACTGACTTCTCCCAGCTGTGGAGGGTGGGGTAGTTTCCATGGGCACCACTCGCCCCACTGGAAGCACTAAGGACCCCGGGATCCTGAACCTGGCCTGAAAGTTTGGGGACAAAAAAATGGAAGAGAGTTCTTGGCCCTCTGACTTTTGGGTCAAGCCCCTCAAAGTTTTGTCCAACCTCCCTACACTTTCCCACTCCTAACAGCAAGTCCAACGAGAACGATGTATGGGCTTTGGTCTTCTGTACTCGCCTAGTGCCGAAGGGAGCACCACAACTAACCCTTCTCTACAGGATCCTAAGGAACTCCCAAGGAATTGGTTTCCTCTTTTTAAACAACACCCAACAGCCTATGTGCCCACTGTGTTAGCTCAGTAATGTGTCAGGTGAGGAGGAGGGTGGGTCATCCACGTTTCCTAGGCTGAAGAGCTAGAAACAACCTAAGAAATTCCGTGATCCAAGCCCTTGATTTTACAGATGGGGAAATTGAGGCCCACTGAGGGGAAAGGGCCTTTCACCAGGGCCAGCCCCACCCCAGGGCATGCTGGTCTGTAAGCTCCAGCACCTCCCTCAGGGTCCCATTTCCTTCAGAAGTCTCCCAGAGGGAAGAAAAGGCAGAATGCAAATGAAGACAGGTTGCGGTCTTTATTCCATTACATAATCTCACAGCTCTCAGCACATGTGATACAGAGACACGCATGCGTCTGTTAAGAGTCCAGCGTACGGATGGACGGATACACACTCATCTGATTGCATTTTTCCAGGCTAACAAACTGAAAAACAGACAAACAGCTGGGTAGGAGTCCACGCTTGACCAAAGGCACCTGCAGAACCCGTGGGAGGCTCCCCAGTACAAACACAACAGCGGTTTGAGCGCAAGCCCCTTGGTGCTGTCGGGTGACCAGCACCTAAATCAGGAATCTTTGGGAATCAGACGAGGCACATTCGTTGCTTTGGCACATGGAATTCCCACATGGGCAATAAAACGGTAATCTTGGTCCAGCAGGGTCCAGCTCCCAGGAGCCACACTTAACAAGCCAGGGCCCCAGGTCGCAGACCTCTCCTATCCCTGATTCTGAAAATTTCTTAATTTCTATTTGGGGCCTAGAGGGACATTTTCTTTCTTTCTTTTTTTTCTTTTTGCTAGGCAATGGGGTTAAGTGACTTGCCCAGGGTCATACAGCCAATAAGTGTCAAGTATCTGAGGCTGGATTTGAACTCGGGTCCTCCTGACTCCGGGGCCGGTGCTCTATCCACTGCGCCACCTAGCTGGTGGGACATTTTCAATGTTTGAGCAATTGGAGTAGGAGGATCCAGCTTGTTCTAATTTAAAAACCAAAAACAGCAGCCCAAGTTGATTTTACCAACTTCCCACTTCTATTTCCATCAGTCAGTGACTGGACACGGGACAAAAGGAGCTATGACCTCCTCCAGTCCAGCCCAGGACACCTTGGGTGGGTGGGGGTCCATTTTTCCCAGGCTGCCACCATCTACCGGTAGGGACAAACCAAGCCCGGTGTTCACCTACTTAGATCTGGCACTAAGACACCTATTCTGATCCAACTTCTCTGCTCCCCAGGCCCCATGAAAGGTAATCGGAGTATTTCACCCCACTCTTGACTCCCAATTGCACCCATCATCTTATGTACTAGATTACTCTGAAGGTCAAACAAAAAGTTCCCATTTCAAAATGTGAAACTATGAGGTCTGGCGAATGACCTTGTGGAATGTGGGGGGCGGGGTGAGGGTTCCCCTCTTCAAGGCAGTCATGGAGCCAGAATCTGTGGGCAGCAGCCACCACCTCAAGAACCAACCCTGGCCTCGATTGCTCCTTTCTGGCTAAACCAAGTTATTTTTCTGCCAGCAGATAACTGAATGTCAGAGTACTATCGATACTACAAATTACGTTAATTCAGAAAGATTCTTTAAAAAATGTTAAAAAAATCCAAGCTTGCTTCTGCCTGATGTGGGTGAATGTGTGTGTCTAAGAGAAGACAAACCCAGCTGTGCCTGCCTCTCTTCAGGGGACCATTCTCCTAAGCTAGCAAAGGAGCCAAGTTGTAAGCATGGCCTGCCAAAGAAACACAAGGCTGCCAGCAGAGGGCAGCTTTTCTTCTCTGCTCGGCCTTTTGTCTGCTGAGAGCATTTTATTATCTGTGAAGAGAGAGAAAGAAGAAAAGGAGAAAAGCAGCAAATACACGCAGGCAATCTTACAATGTGATATCACAAGCCCCACTGCACAGATGCATGGCCATCAGCTCTTCAACCAAAACAGATCCTGGTTCTCAAGACACAATCGTGAGTCCTAAAAGCAGCCGGCACAACTTACTGTGTTTCCTCTTAATTTTTATACTAGAGGTGACGTCAAGTGTCAAAGAAAACTCTGTCGAGGAGAGACGGACTTTTACTGAAATCCATCGAGGCTCCAGACACCCAGAGTTTGCCATTTGTGCTTGACAACCTATCAAAGGAATGTGCTGAAGGAGATGTGTGTAACAAGGCAAACACAGGCCTGAAGACTGAGCTGAAGGAGGCTCGTGTAGGCCAACCCGATTAGAAACTACTATAATGCCCTCCGCATCCAGCTGGGAGAATGCAAAAAAGACCAAATGGAAAAGGTTACTAAGTCCACCTCATCCTGGGGGGGACCAGATCATGCACTCTACCCAAGCCGGCTGAGTTGAGACACAGAGACTCCACAAGTAAAGGCGACACATTTCCGGAAAGGCAGTGCCAAGCAGAAGCCAGAGACCCGGTCCCCCTCCCCTGCTTAATAAATGATGATCTCTCAGGGCTCTGCACCAAACACCAAGTGAACCGAAGACCTTACATTTGCTTCGGGGCCTTAGGACTGGCCTAGGGATCAGAAACCCACCAGTGGGATACTGGACTACATGGAGGGGAAAGCTTCTCCCAAATCTAACAAACTGCAGAAGGACAATTTACCCAAATGAGGGGCTCCTGGGAAATGCACACACATTTCAGAAGCCACTCACCTGAAATCCCTTTAATAAAAGCAGAGGTTTGAGATCCCCGTCCAAAAACAAACTGGCATCCCGTTTTTGTGCCAACTGAATCCAAATGCATGGAGCACCCTGCAAGGTGGCAAGCCAGTGAGCAAGACAGCAGCAGCAGCTACCATTTACAAAGCACTCTACATATGTGACCACGTTTGATTTTGGAAGAAAGAAAATATTACTTGGAAGAAAATATACTTGGAATTAATCCTGGATCAAGAGGATACAAAACCCTGAGAGACAGGATCCAGAAATCCAGACGGGAGGACTACGTGACCAGAGGCTCCATCTGCCTGAACTTTACATTTAGAACTCACATGTACAAAACAGGCTCCTGTTTTCCCAAGCTTCCCAAAATGCAACGCTCTAATTTATTTTGGAAACTTCAAGCTCACGTGTAGATGTGGGTCTAAGTACACAGAGGCACCTCAAAGAAAACAAAGTTTTAAAATCGGGCATGATGAAGCAGAGAAACAGCCAGCTGACAGTGCTTAGCCACGCCAGCTGTGGCCCTAGCATCTCCCTGATCTCCAAGGCAGAGGTGCCCAACGAGCCCGAGTCACAGGTCTCACTTAATTACATGCATCCATAGGCCCAGGAGGGAATGGGGGGCAGGGATGGTGGCTGCTGTTTGTCTGGTCCCACGGACACAATGGAATGAATCCCAAGGCACCATCGGAATGAAGGCAGCTCTACTGCATAGGATTTTCCCCCGGTCTTCCACAAAGATCTGCTCTGATGCAGCTTCGGTGAGAACGAGGTTATTTTAAAGTAAAATTAAAAACTTAAACTAAAGCTCATATTCAGAATACATGAGACACAGTTAATTTGACCAAAGCACAAGGTCAAGTGACTTGTCAGGGGTCACGCAGCTTCTTTCTTGATTTTGGTTTTGTTCCACATTCCCTCCAACATTCTAGGCTACAAGGAAGCCACTGCTGGAAATAAGGACGGCAGAGATTCCTGAGCACCCAGGGCCAAGGTCCCTGCCTCCCCTCCCCCAAGGAAGATGCTGCATCTGCACCCCCCCAGGGGAGGGGCCCTACACTCCGGAGTCTGGTTGTGACCCACAGGGCAGACACACACAAGAGTCTCCGGCGTTACAAAGAGCCTCCTTTCAAACTCTCTTGGAGAGAAGTCTTCGGGACCAGAGCGTCTGGGCTCAGGACGCCTTTTACGAGCAGGGTGAGAGCTCCCAGAGGTGACACGTGGCCACACAAACTGCCCATTCCTTCCCCTGGTCCTCCACCCTCCCCATTGTGTCCATGGCTAGCGTGAGTCCAGATCGAAAAGGCACTCTGTGGTACAAAAAGGACTTTCCAGGCTGCTTTGTCCTTTTCCCCTCCAGCCTCCCCCCACCCCCATAAAGTGCAAAAAAGGAAAGCGAAATAATAGGAGAACAGGACAAGGGCTTGGACCTCTACCGGAAAGGAAAGAAAGGCTGCCGACAGTCCTGGAGGTGGGTTTAAGCCACAGGCAAATGTCTGCTCCATTTATTACAGAACTGCATTTCGAGGCTTCCAGGATGACGCCCCACTCAGGCACACTCGGGATGCTGCAGAAGGCCCGCCTCGGCCGCGGCGGCTTGGCACGTGTGGGCCAGCTCCCCGCTTCACTGGCACTTTTTATCCACAGATGGTCTCCTGGACCCCTCCTCCCCGACAGCCTCCTGAGTGGAATGATTCATGCAAGAGGATGCCTGCAAAAGTCCAGTGACACAGCATGAATTCACAAGACTAGGACGACACACAGTCAGGAGAGCACGGTGTTTCTGGACCCAGTTGGTGCCATCCTCAAATTCAAGTGCCAAGGCCATCTCTGGGCTAGTGACACTGGCTCTCTACCCCAAGTCCCTGAAGAGAGCCCACCGTCCCCCAAATCACCGAGGCCACAGGGCCACAGACACATATGATAAAGACTCCTCCAGCCCCAGGCGGGATCAGGCACCAATTCCCATAGATAGCTGGACGTCTCAATGGCTGCAGTTTGCTCTGTGGAACCTGGGGTAGATGGAGCGGGAGTCCCCAAGGAGTAGCAGGGGCTCCAAAGACAGCAGAGAATGAAGCTGCCCGTGGAGGGGAGTGGAGGCGAGGGAATGCTCCATCTCTGCGTGGCTTCCCCCTCACCTGGAAGTTGGGGGGCAGGGAGCGCATACACACATATGCACACACCACCAACCCCCCCAAGTCTAAAACCTAGCCAGTGGGGGTCCAGCAGTGCCCAGGTCAGCTGGCCACTTGTTAAGGTTACGAGAGCTAGTGCCTGAGCCTGAGGACAGTGAACACCGACACAGCACCCCCTGAGCCCCAGAGGAGGGGGCTGGGGAGAAGCAGGGGATCCCCACTAATCCCAAAGCCACTCACTGGTGGAGACAAAAACAGCCCAGTCACTGTCATTCCCTGTGTCATCAGTGAGAGGAGGGACTTTGTGGGTGTGGCCCAGCTGTCAGGACTCACGGGGAGGGGACTCCCCCTGAGGACAGGTTGAGGCCATCATCCCCGTCCCTCAGCTAACCCCATGGTGACTCAAAACTAAGGGAAGCTTCTTCAATGAACTTCTGATGCGGCATCTGACCTTCTTAGAGCAATGCTCAAGGGAGCAAAGTGACCTACAGAAATCGTGTGCCTTCACAAAGAGCAGGTTCCTAGCCTGGGGCCACGCCTGTGGGCAGATTTTAGGGTCTGTGAACATAATAGTCGTGATTTCGCTCTAACTGGCTTCCTCTGTAACCCCTTGTATTTGACTCGATGCATTAAAAAGCCTCATTCTGAGAAAGGAGGGGTGCACGGGCTTCCCCAGACGTGCCTTTGAGAGGAAGGGGAAGGGGCGCCACTCACCTGCTCCAGGACGAAGGCCGTGCTGGAGTCGATGGCGCCACCCAGCTCGCGGTACTGGCCAGAGTAGCGGATGTAGCCCCAGGTCAGCAGGGAGATGAGCAGCAAGCCCAGCAAGCAGTTGCAGAGCTGGGTGACCGAGGTGAGGCCCAGGAAGCCGGCGAAGCTCGAGCCCACGTAGAGGACGACGATCAGGCTGAAGAGCACGGCCGGCGTGCGGAAGGAGCTGAACACGTTCTTGCTGCTGTTGTGCTTGATGAAGTGGCTGTACAGCACCTCGATGTCCCGGTCCAGCTCGCTCTGGTACCGCAGGCTGAACTCCTTGCCCCCCATTTTCTTGCTCTTCTTAAACTGCTCGATGGCCTGCTTCCGGAACTCTTCGTGCTTCTCCCGCAACACTTCGGACGCCAGGTAGGGCTTCTCCCCTCCACAGACCTGCGGGGAAGAGGCGGGCCACTGCGGCATCGGGCTCGGGCGGGAGGGGGGATCGGCGCGGGGCGAGACAGCTTTGCTGTCCTCGGGAGGGGCCCCAGCAAATTGCTGTAAATGTGGCACCGGCCTGATGAGGCCAGTAACCTCAGCGTCACACAGAGGAGATGGCTACCATGAACACTACCGTTTCAAACCACGCTTATTCCCAGAAGCCCTGGGAGGATTACAACACATTTCCCCACCATGACCCCGAGCACGATTCTCCCTGCTTTACTAATGAGAAAAACTGAGGTGCCTCTGGAGAAAGGTCACCCAGCCCGTCCCAGAACTGGGAACAGCCCCAGCAGGGCTCCTCTCCAGACCCCACCTACCTTTTCCATGTTGTTATAATACATGTCCTTGGCAGATGCCGCAGCAGCTAAATTGTTGGCTTCCGCAGTGGCCTTTTAAAAAAGGAAAGAGAAAATGTCTAGCCTCCTTTACTCAACACCATTCCACAAATAACTACAGTTAATTGGGTTTTTTTTATTACATTTATTTTCAATTAATAAGTCTTAGTTTCTTCTCTCCCTCCTACATTCCCTTCCTTCTTAGAAAAAAAAAAAGAAAGAAAAACAAAACCCATGTAACAAATGTACCTAAGTCAAGCCAAACAAATCCCCACAAGGGCCTTGTCCCCAAATGGGCCGAGGCCCTCCCCAGCACCCCCCCCCGCCCCGTGCTGGTCCCACAATCATGGGGAGCAGACTCCTCAGTCTTCCAGAGCTCCCAGTCTGACAATGGCCTCCGGGTTCTCTTAGCCTTTCCTTTTCCCACCCTTCCTCTTTGGTCAGCATCAATGGCCGACTTGTGTCCCTACCAGCACCTCAGGCTTCTACCAAGACTTGCAGCGGAGCCACCAGGCCATGGAGCTTGTGCAAAGAGCAGCTCTTTCTACAATCAGGGCTAGAAAGGAATCTTGACTGCCCCATTAATGGAGGAGGAGACCCAGGCCCAGAGAGGGGAGGGAGCGGCAGGCCTGTGCACCCTCGGAGCCCAAGGGCAAGGCTTTTCCCGTTACATACAACCCAGTCTCCCATTTGATGGAAGCTGACGCTAAGCTCTGTAAGCTTGCACATCATACAGTGTTCTGAGGAACAACCACCCGCCTCCTTTGCCTAAAGATTTCTGTAAAGCTATTCCTAGACAGAGCCCTTCCCCGGATCAAGGGCACACTCTCTGGCCTCAGCTCTAACCACCTGGCAAGGATCAGCTCAGCAGCCATGGGGAAGAACATACATTTAATACCACTGAGTAAGTGTTGGGAAATGTTCAGTCGTTGAAGAGCCCTGAAGCTGACTGGCTTTCTGCTCAGAACCTGAGCATTATCTATTAGAACAAAATCAGGTTTGCACTTGAATAAAAGCCTGATTCATAAATGAAGCTAACTTTAATGCAGAGGGCTAAAAGTGGGAAGCAGATAATATTAAAGTGGTTTGATAAAGCACATCAAAAACAGGAATAGTTTTCCTTTGTACAAGTGAACAGTGTTTTCCAAATTACAAGTGGGGGCGGGGAGAATGTGCCTAGCAGACTAGAAAAATCAGAACAAAGAAGACTCATCAGCCACTAAAACTGAAGTATAAAGTATGGCACTAATAAGAGAAGGAGCTGATGAACTTGGTGTTGGCTTCGAGCAGAATTCAAGGCCATGTCATTCACCGGGGAGGAACAGCAATGTGTCAGGAGAAATAGAAGGTCTGACACGCGCAGTTAAGAAAAAGATCTTCACCAAGACAATTCCAAAAGGCTCAAAATGGAAATTCTATCCACATCCAGAGAAAGAACTATGGAGTCTGAATACAGATCGAAGCAGACTATTCGCTCTTTTTTTGTTTTGTTTTTTTAATAGTTTTCCCCTTTTGTTCTGTTTCTTCTTTCACAACATGACAAACGTGGAAATGTTTAACCTTAAAAAAAAGAAAAGAAAAGAAAATGATCCTCAAAAAGGGAAATACTGGGGTAGAAAGAAGTTCTCCTGCAGAGAGCTGAGGGTCTTTATGTATGGCAAGCTCCCTGAGTCACCAAAGAAGGGAATTCATCATGTCCAGGTATGAAGGACCCCAAGGTGCCGCAGCCAAGTATACAGAAGGAAGAAAAAAGGCTTTGGGAAAAGCAGCAGAGTTACACCCATCACTCAACCAATCCAGGGACCGTTTCTTACAGTACCCAGAGGAGGAGAAGAAACCAAAGGCAGAGAAAAGGTCCTGGCCCTTACTACTTACCACCCAAAAAGGTGACCAAGAGAAAACTACTAACCACCAAGGAATGTGCTGAATTTCCCCTTCATATGAAATTTTCATGAGAATAAAATATATCAAAGAAGATATATCTGTGATATATATTTGTGATGACAGTGTCGGGAGGGAACAGCCAGGCTTTTGCTTAACACATGGTGCATCCAAAAAATGCCTGCTGACTTGACTAGCATTTCACACGGTCCCATCGTCCCCATCACGTGAGAAGTCAAGAATACAGCCCCCTAGTGGGCTTGGTGCTGGGTGACCACCAAAGCATCTGGCCCAGTCGGCACAACGCCCCTGGAAGGGTTCTCCACGTCAAAGTCACACAAGCTTCCTTAGAAGGTCCTGCTCCAACGAGCCGCTCATCATTGCTCTCCGGCAATGCTTCCCTGGGGACAGGGAGGGTCCCTGCACAGGACAGTATGCTGAGACACTGCAAAGCCCCCTGCCCTTTGCCCTACCACTCAAGAGTGTGGCCTACAGATGCACCAAGGACGAACCAAACAGACAAAGACGACTGACCTGTCCAGGCCAGGTGATGGGCAGGGAGAAGGGCAGCTCTCCCTCAAACAAAGGCCCATCCTTTTCACACTGACTTCTCAGTGCTGTTGATGCTGCAAGGCAAGCACCCAGGAACCTAAGAGGAACACGACTTTTGTGGGCAGACTGCAGCACACCACAGACAAGGAGATGAGCTGATCACGTGAGAGAACGATGGCTAATCCACGGACCACCTCCGTGGCCCACTGTTAGCCCTGCAATGTCTGTGGAGGACAGGAGGCTCATCAGCACGCTGGATGTTTGCCAGCCCCAGAAGCAAACCTCCTGGAGCTCCCTCCAGGCCGGCCAGGTCTCATCCCTCTCCAGGCTGTCACTACCTCGGCCCTGCACGGGGCACATTCACCCCACCACCCTCCCCTGCTTTTCAGCTCCATTTTAGCGCAGCCTTCCCCCGTTCACATGTAAACCCCCGGAGGCAGGCAGCACTCCGGCCCACTGACAGTGAGAAGCCACACAGAACAGAATGAGGAGGCAGGGTCGGTGAGAGGGAACCACCTCAGTGACATCACAGAGCCGGGTGCACCACCCCTCACTGCCCAGCTCGCTTCCAAGTTGGGGGAGCCACACCTCATCCGTGCACCACCAAGCTGGGGAGCACCCAGAGTGGTGGGACCAGGATGCTGCAGGGCAACCGGCTGAGGGCCGGATGGGTGGAGGAGCTAGGGACGCTTGTCCGGGAGAAGGGAAAACTGAGAAACGAGGACAGCTAAGTGCCAGAAAGCATGTCCGGGAGAAGAAAGGTTAGTCTCTGAGGGCAGAGTGAGGAAGAGGGTAAGGGAAAGATTCTGCTTGGAGAAATGGAACAACTCACTCCCAAAGAGGGCTCCCCACAGATGAGGCCGCCTGCCCAGGGGTGAGGGGGGCCTCGGGCTAGAGGGCCTCAGCAACAGTGCACACAGGAGACGTTCTGGTGGACTCAGAAGTCAGGCTAGATGCCTCCGAGCTCCCTGCAACCCTGTGATCCCAATGCGGGGCTGCCACTCAGCTCCCATTCCAACGTCACACACTTATACAGACAAAGTCAGAAGATCTCAGTGGACCATTCTGGGAAATGTGCCTAAAAACGAACAGCACTTAGCCTCCCTCTCAGGGTCCAGTGGAGGAGAGCAATGACTCCCTGGTTTTAAAAGATAATGTGACTAGGATGACACCAAATGGCTTACCTGAAGCATTGATTTGGGGTGAGGCAGACCTTCTCCTTGGTAAATCTTAATGTACGCCTGCAATATAAATAGTGAAGAGATGATACAAACCCGTAGCCTGTGGTAACTGGACACATCGGGGCGTTTCTCCTGGGAGCTGCCAGCACGCCAGGCACGACGTGGAGGCACGTGCGTCAGAGGAGTTAACAACGCGGACATCAGCCCAAGCCAGAGCCCCTGAAGACCCCCTCGCCACTCATTCACTCACTGCCTGCCTGGCTCCCGAGGGAAGTCATGCCCATGCCCCAAGCTGCTTCGCTGGCCCGGAGCTCATTTTGCAGGTCAGCACTGCCCCCTAATGGCTGCTTGTGGCTGAGCCCCATTTCAAACACAAGCCAAGCAGGTCTGCATCCCTCAGGAGGAAAGGCCCGTCCTTACCTTAAAATACTCCAGCAGACCCCGACAGGTGACTTTGGAGCCGCTGATCTCCTTTTCCATTAACCTGCTTGCATCTAACACAAATGGTATCAGCACCTCTAACTGTTCTTTGAATTCAGGCGCGATGTCTGTCCAGGGAACCAGAGAGAATCGGTGTAAGCGATGGGCCTGACGTGGGCCCCGCCCAGAAGCAGGGGGCAGAGATGAGAAGGCTCCATCCCCCATGGCGCCCTCCCCAGCCTGACTTTTGTGTGCCTCCCCGCGGCCCTTCTCAGGTATCAGACCCAAGGATGTCTGGACGCAAGTTGGGGCAATTTCAAAAAGGAACAAAACAAGCCAAGTCTAGACCCATTAGATGACAACCAACACCCCAGTGACTTCTGGGACAAGAGGAGACAGAAGCTCTGCCCTCGTCCCATGAGATGGCTCCAGAGGCCCCAGAGGACAGGGCCCCCTCCACCTGCGGCCACAGGGCAGGGAGGCGCTGATCCACATTGGGGGAGGGAGCTTCCTCAACTGGATGCTCCCTGCACCAAGGAAATCAATGGTCCAGGCCCTATCCTTAAGCTGAGCATTCCCAAACCACTGTCCCATCAGGTAGAGGAAGGAGAGAAGGGAAGAAGGGAAGAAGAGAAAGAGAAAAGGAGGAAGGGAAAGAGGGAGGAAAGAAGGGAGGGAGAGAAAGAGAAGGAAAGGAGGGAAGGGAAGGAATGGAAGGGAGAGACAAGAGAGAAAAGGAAGGAGGGAACAAGCATCTAATTACTAAGCACCTACTATGTGCCAGGCACTGTGTTAAGCACTATACAAATATTAGCTCATTTGACTGTCACAATAAGCCTCAAAGGTAGGTGCTATTATGATCCCCATTTTACAGCTGAGGAAACTGAGGCAGACAGAGATGAGCTGACTTGCCCCGGGATACAGAGCTAGTAACTAATAGCTAATACTAATAAAAATATTATTCTCATCCCCATTTCCCAGTTTGAAAAGGGGGGATCAAGCCATTTGCCCAGTCGTAGAGGCAGATGACCTGCATCTCTTGGCTCCAACCCAGTCCTGAGCTCAATAAGGTGGCTGGACATTTGGGAGAGTACTGCCGGGCATTTTTTACTCCTTCTGCCCTGAAAAAAAACCCAAGATGTGTCACACAATGGCTCCCGGACACGGGACTCCCCGCAGTGAGGAAGCGTTGGGTGGGTCATTGCCACCCAAGGACTCCGACTGGGCCTGAGTTGGCGGGCTGTGCCAGAGACCACCTCATCCAGGGTCATCAGGCTGGGTAAGCCAGGGCCCCTTCTCAGAAGCATGCTTTCACATACATCAAATCCAATATGTGGGATTACAAAGCAGACCAACCTTGACCGACCAACCTATTTTTGAAGCGCACAAGCCCCAGGCTAGTCTAATGCTCTCCTTTTCCAGGGCAGGCTAGTGCCTGCCAAGGCTGCGTGACTGAGCCAGGCCACAGAGTGAGGAGACAGCAAAGCGGGGACAGACCCCAGGCCTGAGGTCTCCCACCCAAGTGGTGCGAGGAGCAAACCAAAGGAAAGAGCGCAAGGGATTCTTAACCAAAGGGTCTGTGCAACTTGGATGGGAAAAAAAATCATGCAAACCCCCAACGAAAATTTAGCATTTCCTTCAATTATGAATTTAAAGAACCCAACAAACCAGGACTCCGGGTAGGGGTTCCCCGGACAGCCGGAGAGGTCTATGTCACAAAACAGGAAGATGGCCAGCCCTAAGATGCCTCCTGCCAACCTGTCCTTCTTCTCCACTTATGAAAATTCATGTTCAATAGATTAGATTACGGAGGGGAGAGGGAGAGTAGGGTGTATATACAACTGACGTGACCCCATCTGCCTCCAGACACCTTTCTGTAAAACCTGGGCCAACGAATGCTCTTGACCTCTCCTGAGCAGAAAAGCTGTCCACGAGGTGAAAACCTTTCTCCAGTGGACAAATGAAGGACAAAGGTCATTCTCACAAACTCATTTTCTCTGACTCCATGCAGACCAATTTGGAGGCAGGTCTTCAGAATAAGAATGCCCACTGGCCAAGGGAGACAGGCCTTTCTCTTCCACCAAATGCCCACCTAGCAGGCGAAAGCAGTCAGTCAGCCCTATGCTGAGCTCCTACGCTAACACATTAGCATCCCCCAACATTACTAACAGAATCACGAGGAAAGTTAGAAAAACAAAGCCAGGTCAGTTTTACATATGGATAAACTGAGGCACAATGATGCTACTGGGTCCAAAACAAGATCCTAGAACCCAAGAGTCAAAACAGAAGCAGTGTCCCTCATTGCACCCTCTCCTCTCTCCTCCAGAAACCCAGTGTACTCTGTGAACATAGCCGCCTCTTCCTGGGTCCTTTCTGGGTTTCACCGTTGGGAATGTCTGTGCAGGCAAAGCATCCCCACTTTCCAGTGGGGACCCCGAGGGCACTATTTTCACCATTTCACAGAAGGGGAGCCAGTGGTGCGACCTGAGACACCCTAGGCCCTGGTGGGAGGCCAGAGCAAAGCCGGCAGGGGTCCCTTCCTTCAGTAACATTGCCTGTCCATCTGTTCATCTCGTCCGTACAAACCTTTCAGCCTTCCATCAAAGGTGGGGCTGGTGGCCACCTGCAGCCCTGGGTGTGGCAGGAGAAAGCAGCTGACATCGGTGAAGCACGAGCGGATATGATTCCGTACATTCTGGATTTCCTCGTGCTGCTGCTGCTTCACCTGCCAACAAGGACCAACAAAGCCGGAGCTCACCTCCTGCGCACGAGACCCGAGCAGACCACCTGTGCCGGAGCGTCTGAGCCCGAGGCCTTCGGGAGCCTGGGGGCCACCAGGACAGCCCACACCGTAAGAGTCTGTCATGACCTCCAAAGCACAGAGGCTGCTCTGGCCCCTAGGCTCACAACACCAGGGCTTGAGGCCCAGACGAGCTGCTCAACCCGTCGGCACCGGAGACAGAGGCTTGGCGAGGCAGGCTGCTCCTGGTCATCGGAGCCACGACCAAATTTTTAAGTGAGAATGGCAATCCACATTCTGACTAGTTTCAGTCTGGTACAGGGACTGAGTGCCACCCAAGCCAGCACGGGCAGCAGCTGTGAAAGCATCCTGGGTAATTCCTTGTTCCCTACCACCCCCACTGCCAATCATCTGCAAAGAGGTCGGCGACCTAAGGCTGACAGGGGTAGCCGGCAGATCTCCTCTATGGGGGCTGCCGCTGGCATCCCCTACGAGATTCCCCCCAACCGTGAATCACCTGCAAGCGCTTCTCCAGAAATGCCATTCCTCCCTCAAGGCCATAGCTATACTCGTATGGGCAGCTCCAATCTCGAACCAAAAACATCAGCATCTATTTAGAGAGAGAAAGAGTAGGGTGGGTCACACACAGCCTTGTATAGATAAATTTGGGGGCTCAGCAGAGAAAGTCAGACCCGAGACGCTGTGTAACCTGGGCAAGTTTTCAACCTGTCTGCCTCGGTTTCTTTATCTGTAAAGTGGGGATCATTACAGCACCAACCTCCCAGGGGTGTTGTGAGAAACAAATGAGATAATATCTGGGAAGCGCTTAGCACAATACCTAGCACATAGTAGGTGCTATAGAAATGTTAGCTATTACTATTAAATAGCCCCTCTTCAGAAAAGTATTGATAACACCTTTCCTTTGAAGAAAAGGCAGGCAGAACCCTGACGTGACTCCAGGATTTCCCTATTCTGTGAATCCTGGGGAAATAATCAGTTAAGTTTGGGTGCCTGGGACTCTGCCCAGGGCAGAAGGATATGTGTGAACCAGGCATGGAGGCCCCAGGCCCTATGGGATACTTCTGTTCCCCTGCTTAGTAAGAACCCGAGGAAGGGAGCCATGAGGCAGACGTAGGGCCAGATTCAGGGCAAGGAGGAGCAGCGGGGTGAAGGGTAAAGGGTGAAGAACCACCCACCACAGCCCACAGAGTCACCTCTAGCCCCTTTCACGTCAAGCCCCACAGGGCAATGGGCTCACCGTCAAGACTTCTGGGAACGCTCACCTCACAACGAGACGGCAGGTGAGGCAGGGAGCTGACTAAGGACACAGAGCATAAAGAAATAACTGGCTGAAGCCAGCTGGGCAGGAGTGGTGTGCACAGGGAAAGGATGTACCTGGAAGGGCTTCTGGGAAATTTCATCCATTGCCAGACGGCCATATTCTGTGAACAGCTTTAAGAAAGAAACAGACATAACAACAGGTGAAAACGCAACAGGGGAAGGGGTTATCTCTGGAGGTCATCCTTCGACCCAGCATGCAACTGGAACCAGGCCCAGGCTGTCTGTCTCCCCTCGTGCCCTAGCGTTCACAGCAGGGCCTGGCCCATAGGAGGGACTTCATCGCTGCTGGCTGACTGGCAGCCAGGACCAAGAACTGCTCCCACAAGATTAGAGCAGTCACAGTTTGGGGACCAGTAGTCAGCAAAGTGAGCACCTAGTGCTCCCAGCTTGGTACAGGGGAAGGGAGAAAAATGAGAATCTACAACATCTACAAGCCAATGGCCTTCCTCCGTGGCAACACAGTGTAGGGGTGGCTGGCCTGGACCTGAGGAGGAGGATCTGGGAGCCCCGTGTCCAGAAGCTCTGTCTATGTAACAGGCAGACATAAAATGCAAAACACAGAAGAGGCCAGAGTCAGAAACACAGCATGGACCTCCTTTAAAAAAATACAAAATACATCCATGCAAGTTGGGGGATGGGGAGGGAGGTATCAGAAGAGGCTTCGTGGAGAAGGCTGGGCTCAAGCTGAGCCTGTAAAGAAATGGGACATTCCGAGAGAAGGTGAGGAAGGAGCACATTCCCAGTACAGAGACAGCCTGGGCAAAGGCCTGGAGACAGGAGACAGCTGGTCACATGAGAAAATGGCAAGCCGGTCACCTCAGCTGGCAGGCGGAAGGCTGGAAAGGGAGTAACACGCCAAGGGTCGGCAAGGGGAGCAGAGCCATTGGGGAAGAGGGGCGGGTTTGGTCATCCTCGTTCACACCCTGGCCCTTAACTGAGGGGCCACCCCAGAGTCTGGCCTCCACACAGCGTCCCTGTCACCCCATGACTACATCGGCCGGTCTCTCCGTCTCAGTCTCAGTCTCAGGGCTGCACCACCACCTGCCTCCTGGTCATTTCTAGAGGGACACCTGGGGATGACGCCCCAACCACATGCTCTCCAGAGTCAGAGGCTCAACGCTGCCCCGCCCTCTTCTGCTTCCTCCATGTCACCTGCAGGGCATCTCCTGCCCCTGCCCCTCTCTCCACTCACAAAGCTCCCTCTCACCAAGGTGCCGCCAATACCCTCCTCATGCGGTTTCCTTGCCTCTGGTCTTATTCCATTCCAGCCCATCCCACACACATGATTTTCCTTTAGAGAAGATCTGACCAAGGGCCTGCCTCCCTCACCCAGCCCAAGCCTTCTTCCTGCCTCCAGAAAACATCACCTCTTCTACTTCACTTACAGCCCTTCACCCCTTGGAAGCAACTTGCCCATCCATCATTCTTGCCCACACGAAACCGATCTGGCCTCCTCCGTTCTTCCCATGTGATACTGCCTCCCACCTCCATACCTTTGGCCTGGCCATCCCCCATCGCTCCCTCCTTACCTCTACATCACGGTCCCTCTCTTGCCTTTCCTGAGCCCTGACCCCCTCAGTGTCCTCCTTCCCAAATGACTTGTCTTTAATTCTTCAGGAGACACCTGTATTTATTCCCTGCATATTCAGCCATAGACATTTATATACGTACTTGTCTCTTGACAGAATCTGAATTCCTTGCAACAAGAAATTGTTTCCTTCTTTGTACTTCTATCCCTAGTGCCTAGCATACAGCAGGTGCTTAATAAACCAACGGTTATGGACTGATCGCGTGGAGGAGAGACTTGAGGCAGGAGGGACCTGCTCAGCAGGTGATAAGGCTTGAAGACAGGGAGTCCTATGGAGTCTGAGAAGCCTATGGGCCGTCCAGTCTGAAATGGCCGTGAGCCTGTACCTGATTCCCATCTCACAAAAAGACAAGGTGACAGCCTATGAGGACGGCTTCCTCTGGCTTGGGCTCATGTTCCCCAACCCACCCCTCCACTCCCAGCATCCAGAGCCTCCAGCACTCCAGCAGGTCACAGGTGCGGTCTCACCCAGCCCAGCCCAGTCCGTGGTCCTTCTGCATGGGACCCCTTGTCTCTTCTTCACATCCTCTCTTGGAGAGCTCATCCAGTCCCACAACTGCCACCATCCCTCCCTAAATGTCTATTCTCCAGTCCCAACCTCTGTCATGTTTAGCATTGAAGATTTGGATGTCCCAAGGGCAACTCAAACTCAGCCTAACTTAGTCTAAAATTCAGTTAGTCATCATCCACCCCAAGTCTGATTTCCCTCCTGAGCTCTCTATTTGTTACTGGGATCGCTGTCCTAGGAAATCTCAGGTACCTTAACAGAATCACAGAAGGGGAGGGCTGGAAGGGACCTCAGCTGCCTCCAGTCCAGCTCATACCCAAAAGGCATCCCGACTCGAATGGCCAGTCACAACTATCCTGTCCCTCCCTGGTGTCGTCTTCTTCAGGGTTTACATGTCTACTTCCTCCCACAAATGGTCATATGACATGTACTCCAGGTCCTCGCTATGCCCTCATCTAGGTGTTCTCATCAATGGCCTCCTTAAACTGTGCTCCCTAAAACTGAGCACACTCCTCCAGGGAAGGCTCAAGAAAGATGGACAATGGAGGGATCTTGGTGGCTTGAACCCAACGCTGACACAGAATGAGAGCCTGAGGTCCACTAGATCCCCCAGGTCTTTTTCAGATAACATTCTGGCTAGCTGCACCTCCCCCACTATAGACTTACTGAGCCCAGGGGTAAGACACAGCAACCTTTATCCGTAGTGATCCCATCTTACTGCATTCAGCTCCATGTGTCAGCCCTGGGGCTGCCATTTAGGATATTCACTCTCCCTCCCAGCTCTGGATCATCTGGGAATTTGGTGAACATTTCATCTGAGCCTTCATCCAAGCCATTAGTAAAAATGTTACGTGGCCCAGGAGGACAAGCAGGTCCACCACGGTGACCCACCCAACATCTCACATCATGAGGAAGCTAGATCCTGAATGACCCTGACCCCATCTCTCCAACCAGCTCTGAACCCAACCAATGACATTATCATCTAGTCCACACTTCTCTATCTCCTCCACAAGAACTATAGGAGATAATTTATCAAAAACGTTGCTAAAAATCTGTGCCAAACACATCCCTATCATTCCCCTTATCTGCTACTTTAGCAATCCTATCAAAAAAAGAAATAAGGTTAATCTGATACAACTTGTTCTTGAGGAAGTGATCTCTGCTGGTTCTAAGAAATTTCCCACCTCCTTCCTTCAGTGCTCACCAACTGACTCTTAATTTTCCATTCTTGAATGTTCCCAGAAGCTGAAGTTGAGCTTCTGCCTTAGTTTACACGCTCTGCTCCCCCCTCCCTCGTGTGGAAGTGAGGACCCGGGCAGCCCTTTGCCCTGGGGGCAGGCGGCTCCTCTCCAATGCCGCATCCTCTTTCCCAGATCCCCAACAGGCCGGCCGCCACAGCTGCCATTCTCTCAGACCACGTGGGCTAGTGAGCCGCCATGTAGGGGACCCATGGTAGGGAGCTGGCACTCTTCTTCAGCTCCACCTCTTCCTTCACAAGGAGCACAGCCTCAAGGAGGGATGCACCCTTCCATCGGCCTGGATCGTCCACTCATACCAGTGAACTATTTACTCACTCTGACACTCTAATTAGGAGCCCTGGAGACGAAGGAGTCAAGGTATCCGTATTATCACATTTCTGGGATAGGACGCTCCCTTTACCTCGAAAAGCTCAATAAGCTCTCAGGCTGCCACCCCCCCCACACTTCTGTACTCAGTTCACACGCAGGCAGCCCAAACAACAACTCACCCTGCCCTCAAAAAGTATAATGTAGGAGAGGAAATGGGACAAGCCCAAGAAAAGACAGACTCAGACCAAAATCAACAAGCACTTCGAATGACACCCAAATTCTGTTAAAAACCACTCCCCCCCACAGAGAATTCTACCATGAGTCTTCCTGGGCATCATCCGCCACCTCCACAAAGTAGCGCCTGAGGAACAAATCAAGGCCTTTCCATAGGACAGATGAGCCTTGAGACATGATCCTGAGGACGCTAAAGATGGTATCACACCATGCTGGGAATTCTGAAGGTGCAAGAAGCTGGAGGCAGATCACTACAGAGGCGTAGGCCCGTGAAGGTGAAAGGTCAGGGATGCAGAGGAGGACGAGGAGAAGCTGATCACTGACTGCATGCAGGACAGCAGCCTCCAAACAAGCCCAGGCATGGGGAAGCAGGAAGAGAGTGGTGCCGAGGACTGTGGGGACACGGGAAGGGAGCACGAGAGGGGACGAGCGTGGCTGCTCAGGTGTTTTCTGAAGAGACTCCAGGTGAAAAAGCCCAAAATACGGGACCTGGGCGGGGCCTAAGGAGGAGTAACCTTCTTGCACCCTTGAACCTTGCATAGAAAAACTCTCTCTTAAGATTGTTTGAAAAGAGGTTATGACAATCCCCGAGCAAAACCTTTGTGAGCCACGTTACCTGCAACTGCTGTAGATCATCCTCCTGAATGTTCTGGGACAAATTAAAAATCTGTAACAAAAGCAGTTTTCAGATTAACGCCATCCTGACAAGAAAGATTAACCTGGAGAAAGCCCACCCCCCGGCCTGAACCCCAACCCAGCGCAGCTTCCTGGATGCAGGTGGGACAAGAACAATGGCTTGCTGGTCTCCTTGTGTCCAGGACTGGTTCACAACATGGCAGCCGTGCAGCCTGTCCTAAGCAAATTCTTCCCCAATGCCTGTCACCTAGAGATCAGGGAAGGCTGCCCTCCTCAGGAAGACAAGCAGGTCGCCGAATGCCCAGCCCTTCCCCAAGACCCAGGGATTCTGATGGGCATCAGCATCACAGAGTCTCTCGTTCACCAGCATCCCAAGGAATGCTCCCTGTTTTCATAAATCAAGCCGAGTTACCTGGACAGAGCTCATCATGGTACTGAGGGCAAATATGGTGGCACAGTCCTTCACCGTTGAATGGCTGTCAAATGCACCTTGAGTGTCCATCAAAATCAAGGCAACCTGAACAAGGGAAAATACAAAAAGAAGACTGAAAACTGAAAGCACGAGGTTAAAGAAGCTGCTTCAGACAACAAGAGAACTATCCTACAAACGAACCTGCTGGGCAGTTCTAGAAGAGGAAGAGCCCAACTGCCCATCTAGCCTGACCACAGCACTCCTGCAGAAGGTCCGGTCTTCTCTGACTCACTGCCCGAGGGCGGCTGGAGGAAGGGGGCACCTGCCGAAACCTCCAGATCCAGCCCATCCAGCAGGGGGGGCGACAGAAGGCCTAGTGCCGGGTCCCTGAGCACACCAAAGGCAGCTGTTACCATCTTCTGATCAGACTCAGAGCCAGGAAACCAAGAAGGTTCATTTAACTTCTCTTAATCCTACAAACTTTTTGGAGTACACAGTAATAAAACTACACGTATATAATTGTACATGTTAAAGGTAGATAATTATTTGCAGTACTATCTTCATCTTTTGCATTTTCAAGGTTTTTCAGGTAGCATTATTTCTATTCCTAACTGCATGACATCACTTTATGCAAGCATGCTTTACAAAATGGAGAGCCAACCGTGGCACCAGAAAGAAGTTAACGATGGCAGGGAAAGGGCTGTGGAACAGAAGGCCCTTGGCCCATCTCTACCACACTCTGGGTGACCTGGAGCCTGACAACAGGCAATCACAACGTCACAAAACTTTGGTGAAAACAAGGTTTCTTACAAGAGAAACAAACACGCATGTGGAAGCAAAGAGTTCACAATCCATATTTATCACAGCAGGACAAGTGGGAAAGGGACAAAAGCCCTTGTGAAGGGGAGGAGCAGGGCCAGCCAAAGCTCTGTTCTTCCTCCTCCTCATGAAGACAGGAGGGTCACCTTATCTCCCAGGGTCCCCACCACACAAGCACTTTCTCAGCCCAGCACAGACTGCCTGGTGGTGCCTGACCTACCTCCCTAGGACACACAGGGAGTCCGGCTTGGGAGGCAAACGATACATAAAGTCAGCTCAGAGGGGCTTCATCCTTGACACATTCAGGGCCTCCTGCATACTACCTTTCTTCCGGAGCACCTGTGTGCCAGGTACTGTTAAGAATCAAACAAACGTCATCCGCACGCCACCATTCGAACGTCTGCGTGTACATAAAGACATGAACAGACCACGAGGTTTCCTACCGACAAGCCAGAGACATTGCGGGAAGCACCAGGATACAAAGTAGGTGCATGTGTTAGGGGGCATCTTGTGCTAGGCCCATCATCTGACTGACCCTAAACGCACACTCTCCCTCCTTTCTTCCATTTCTAAGTGAGGAGGAGCAAGCCATACATTCTCTAGAGCCTCTCTTAGATTTGACGGCTTTTCATGTCCACACGTTCAGATTCAGTACGAATAAGGATAGTGGGTGAAAGACCAAGGTTTCTGCTTGCCTTCCTAAAGTCAGCATCAACTAGAGATGACTTCTCTTGATAAAGTGTTTCACCAGGAGGGAATCAAAATGCAGAATGAGACACAGGAATCTGCTATGCTGGATCATGCCTATCCGTGATGAGGATTTAATTTTCTTTCCATTTGTTTTAATTGGGAGAGAGGGATGGGAGGGATAGAGAGTAGAAAATACTTGATTAATTTTATTTTAAAAATTGAATTACCATGAATCATTAAATAAACCATGGCATATTAATATGACAAAATAATACAGAGCCACTTAAAATGATAAATAAATGATATGAAGAATTTTGCAAAGATTGGTATGAAGTAATTCAAATAAAAGCAAAACCAAAACAGTATATACCAACTGGCTGGAAAAAAAAAATTAAAATGTAAACACAAATAGAAAAAATGTGAACAAACAGAGAACAGAAGAGAATATAGAGGGAGTAAGAATGAGCTATGCTCTGACGGGCATGTTAGAAGTAAAAATTCATCTCTGATAGTTGGAAAGGTTTATTTCAGTTTCATTGATTTAAAGTTAAGCAGATAAAAATATTTCAAACTATATGCCAATACAAAGAGAGATTTTGTGTAAATTAATTTTACACAATGATCAAAGAGGCAAAGTTCTTCATGTGTTTGCAGGCGACCCCTCACCCCTTACCTTTTTCCCATCAGGCTTCTCCACAGTGAAAATTTCACTCCAGATCTGAATTCCAGTGGTTTCAGGGTCAGAACCCCCTCGCCATGAAAATCCTGTTAGCGGTTCATCTTTGTCACCCAACCAGTGCAGACGGCTACCTTCCTTCTGCAAGATGAGAAATAAGTCTCCTTTAAATACGAAGATAGGAAAATAAAGCACTGACTAAGCACCCAAGACATAAGGGATTCTGGCCCACCTGGCTGTACATGTAGCGAAGCAAGAAGTCCAGAAAAAAAGACTTGCCCTTGCGGAAGGCTCCAGATACTGACACCACGACCACATCAAGGTCCCTGATGTGGTCTTGCAAGAGAATCTTGGTCAAGGCCTTCTCATTCAGCTCAAAAGAATGCTGCTCTTTGTTCACCAAGATGATCTGTATGGGGCCGGGCTTCGGGGGCTCCATGACGTCACCACCTACGTGGAGCAGAGAGAGTAAGTGCCGTGAGGGCGCCCTCTCCTAACCTTCCTAGGGCAACGTGGTATCAGCCGCAAGGGCACAATGCTGGGCCCTTTCACAAGGAGGAGTCAGCCTCCACTCCCTGCAGCCAAAGAGCTGGAAAAACCAGCATTTAGACACCAAGAACTCAGGGCCCTGCTCCTTGGGGCCGTGACCCATTAACCCACCAGCAGTTTGTGAAGATCAGGAGTGCAGGCTGGGCATCCCAACCCCCAAGACTCAGTCGGGACTCCTGGGGGCAGGGCCACACCAACAAACTGGGAAGGGGATGACCTCCTAGTGTCCTCACCAGTGACTGGACTACAGCCAGGGAGGCAGGGCAGAAAAACCAGCAGCAATGGATCGTTTCTAAGGTCAGACCACACTGGCATCACCAGAATAGAAAAAAGGCCTGCCCACATCACACAGGCCTAATCATCTATCCTCTCTCAGGCAGGCTATGGAGAGCCTTACCCTAAAATTCTGGGTAAAAGGAACAGCTACTGATTTTGGTGGGTGGCCCCCTTCCTCCTGCAAGGGGGATCCCTACCTTTGGTCACTGGAGCCTTCCAACACCTCCAGGAGGGAGGGAGGTGGGCACTAAAGACTCACTGAACAGATGAGGAAATCACAAGTAATGCCCACTGTCCTAAAGCTAGCAGGTGCCAGAGGCTTAATTTGAACATGGGTGCCTCCTAATGCCCTTCGCCCATGCCCCGCTGGGACTGCTGACCAGCCCTTGGCTTCATTTAAGCCTAAGAGGGGGAAACATTTGTGCTAACAAGGACGTGTAAGTCCCTTGAGCACACCTTAGATCTTCCTAATGAAGACTGATGGCAGTTTGTATCAGTTACTGTAACCACTGCCTCACCCACCCATCTCAGTGTGGGAGCACTAACTTCCAGGCTTACCTAGAAAACCTCTTATAAAGTAACTGGGCCCTGCCACAGGGCACACCAGTCCACAGAGCGCCTGAGCGCAGAGGTCACATGTGGCTCCAGATGAGCACCCGGGCTCACAGAAGCAAACAGCATCTAATGACCTTTAGTCAACCCCCAGGCAGTCCCTACTGTGCTGGCCCCAGAAGGTCTAGATTCTCCTCAGAGCCCATCACGTGTGTCTGCTGAGAAGACAGCCCTCTAGCCCTCCAAACCTAAGGGACAAGTGCCAACTTTCTGGTGGTCACTTGCAAAGCAATGACTCTGGCCACACAGGAGAGGCTTGGGATTGGAAGACCGGTGCCTGGCGTCCCAACTGCCAGCAGGGCACCAATGGGCAAACTTCCGAACCCCAGCACTTATTAGGGGCCTGTGCCACGCCTGGCACTGACCATGCTAACAAAGGGCAGCCAAAAGGGGGTCATTTTAACAGGAGAGACAACATGCAAAAGTGTGTGTGCATGAGAGGAAGAGGGAGATATGCAGGCACAGAAAGTAATGACATACACAAGGCACTAGCAGTGGGGAGGGCAGGGGAAGGAAAGGCTTCTTGCAGAAGGAAGCCAGAGGCCACCAGAAGGCCATGGGGAGAAGGAGAGCACATGGCAGGGCTGAGGAGGTGCCAGAGGGGCTCCTGTGCAAGGCCAAGGCTGCTGAATTTTAGAGTACAGGAGAGGAGTCAAGCTTCATTTTTGAAGATTAAGAACACCAGAAAGGCAGAAAGGGGCCTTTTGATTTGATCCTGAGGGATGATAGGGAGACATGAGTTTCCTGAAGTTTACCCGCTATCATCCCAGCTCTCACTATCTTCAGTCTTGCCCTGACCACTGGCTGCTCCCCTGCTGCCTACGAACACACCCACGTCTCCCACATCCTCACTTGACCCTACCCACTCCTACTATCGCCCTCTGTCGATTCTGCCCTTCTTGGCTAACCTCCTGCAGACAGCCCGTCCCCATCGTGGCCTCTGCTAACTTCCCGTAGAAGTCTATTAATCTTGGTCTCCACTTCCTCTCCCTTCACTCTCTGAAGCTTTCTCACTCATCATTCAACTGAAACGACTCTCCCTGAAGTCACCAATAATCTCTTTGGAGAAGAATATTTTAAATCCTTTTTTCAATCAGGAAAAATCTGTCTCCTCTGCCTCCCATCCCATCCCTCCCCCGATTACGAATGAAAAATATAACCCCTGTTACATACACATGGAGTCAAGCAAACAAACTTCTGTGTTCTGCACTGAGTCCTTCACCTCTTTGTCAGAAGTTGCACAGCACGCTTCATCGCTGGTCCTCTAGAACTGGGGTCGGTCAGGATTCCCAAATCTTTCCAAGCTGTTTGTCTTTACAATGTTGTTGTCATTACAGAAATCGTTCCCCTGGTTCTACTCACTTCACTGTGCATCGTGCAATTCTTCTCAGGTTTCTTTGAAACCATCCCCTTCATCATTTCTCACAGCACAGTATATCCATCATATTTATATGCCCTAAATCTTGTTCAGGCATTCCCCAATTTATCATACCCCCCCTCAGGTTCCTATTCTTTGTCACTTCAAAAAGCAATATTTCTTTGGTTTTTTGTTTTGTTTTCTTTCTTAAGGCAATTGGGGTTAAGTGACTTGCCAAGGGTCACACAGTTAGTGTCAAGTGTTTGGTCTGAGGGCAAATTTGAACTCAGGTCGTCCTGACTTCAGAGCCAGTGCTCCAACCGCTGCGCCACCTCGCTGCCCCAAAAAGCAATATTTCTGTACATTCTTAGCAGTTCATTGTGCGTAGAACTAATCCCTCCAATTCCCTTTTCTCCTTTCCTTCCCATTTTTCTGAGTGAAAACCAACAAGGTGTATCTATCCTTCCCGATTCTGACCAGTTCGGAGGAGTCTCCACCACCTCTTTCTGGTTTATACTGGTATACCCTCATTCTCCCTAACTTTCCTTCCTCTTCCCCTCTTTCCTAACCCTAAATTCTTCTCTTAAGCTCATCAAGACATAAGAAAACCACTCCCAGGCCTTGTCTGACTGGACTTCCTCTGAGGCCTGATGATGACAAGGTTCACAGGGGACACATACATCATCTCCTCATATGGAATATAAGCAGTTTATCCTGGTCTAACCCATTATCAATTTTAATCATGTTTACTTTTTTATGTTTCTCTTAACCCTTGTGTTTGTACTTCAAAGTTTCTACACAGCTCTGTTTTTTCATGAAGAACGCTTGAAAGCGCACTATTCATTAAAGATCCAGTTTTCTCCCTAGAAGATGATCCTTTTGTTGGGTAAATCATTCTTGGCTGCAAACCTATAACTATGCCTTCTGAAATATCATATTCCAAGTTCTTTGCTGCTTTCTAGTGGTGGCTGCTAAATCCTGTGTGACCCCGACTGGCTTCTTGGTGTTAAATTCTTTCTGTCTAGCAGCTGCATTATTTCTTCTTTGGCCTGGAAGCTCTGATTTTGGCTCCAATGTTCCTAGGAGTTTTCCTTTGGGAGTTTCATTCAGGAGGTGACTAGCAGATTGTTTTTACTTCCACTTTGTCTTATGGTTCTTACAGATCTGGGCAGTTTCCTTTCCAGATTTCTTAAAATGCGATTTCTGTGCTCTAGAACTGGTTAGTGGGCAACACGGCTGCCAGCTGTCACCTGTTCCCACTCAGGTGCCCCTATGATGGGCCTGGGACCTCCTTTTGCTCCAGGTCACCACCTCTCCCTTGTGTTGGAGTGTTACAGGCAGCAAGCTCTTGGCTAGACCCCCCTCCCCAGTGTCTGCAGAGCTTTCTGTCTATCTCCTTCTACAGACCTGGCCTAGAAAAATGACATACTGTGACTTTTTCTTGGATTTCTCCATCAGGATTCGGTGTGGTGCGTCGTCTGTCAGTTCTGGAGGAGCTGGGGGGAGCTCACTGCACTTCCGGCCGTGCTGCCGTCTTGGCTCCACACTCCCCCCATCACCTCTCAAAGGTCTTTTCTCAGTCTTTATCCTTCTTGGCTTCTTTTCAGCCTTTTACACTGCTCATCACTCTCTTTTCTATAATTCTCTCTTCTCTCCAGGTTTCTTGGACTTCTCTCCTGGTTCTCCTACTTGTGTGATAGTTCCTTTTCAGTCTCCTTTACTGTATCTTCATCTAGGTCATGCCTGTTAACTGAGGGTAACCTAGGCTCTCTTCTCCTATTCCGTTTCAGCGATTTCATTGGCTCCCGTGGGTTCAGTTATCATCGTTATGCTCATGGTTCTCAAATTTATTTACCTGGCCCTCTCCTCTTTCCTACCCTCCAATCTCATATCTCCAACCACCTACTGAACATCTTGAACTGGGTGTCCTCTAGACAGCTCAAACTCACCCTGACCAAAACAGAATTCATTGCCTTTCTCCAAAGCTTACTGCCCTTCCAACTTCACCATTACAATTGAGAGCACCACCATCCTCCCACTCACCCAGGCTAGCAACCTCGCGGTCATCCTCAATTCTTTCCTCTCCCTCACCTCTCCCATACCCCCTCTGTTCCCTAATCTCGTTGATTTTACCTTTGCAACGTGTCTTACATATACCTGCTTCTCTTCTGACACTGCCCTCAACCACCAGCCTGGATTACTGCAACACCCTGCTGCCCAGTCTCTCTGACACAAGTCTTTCCCCACTTCAGGCGATCTTCCTAAAGCATAGGTCTGACCACACCTCCCTACTCAACAAATTCCAGTAAGCCCCTATGACCTCCAGGGTCAGGCTCAGGTTTGGTATTTAAGGCCTTGAGCATTTGAGCCCCTTCCCGCTTTTCCAATCTTCTTCTGTCTCTTTCTTCTCCACATATACTATAACGAGGTGACACTGGCCCCCTTGCTGTTCCTTGCACAAGACTCCCTAGGCCCATACTCAATGCATTTTCACTATCTCCCATGCCTGGAATGGCTCGCTCCCCACCTCTGCCTTCTGGCTTTCTTCTGGTCTTAGCTAACATCCTACATTCTGCAAAAGCCTCATCCTGGTCCCCCATAATCCTAGGTAAACTAGATGACCTCTAGTTTACCCTGTATATATGTTGTTTGCACATTGTCTTCCCCATTTGACTGTGAGCTCCTTAAGGCAAGGACCCTGTTCTAACCTTTCTTTGTATTCCCAGGGCTTGGCACAATGCCTGGCATGGAGTAATCAAATAATAAATGCTTGTTGACTGGCTGACAAGTCACTGAACTTCCCTGGCCTTAGTTTCCTCATCTCTAAAATGGGGGGGTAGGGTGAATTAGACAGTTTCTGGGGGCCCTTGCAGCTGTGGAGCTGTGAATCTGAGCCCGTGATGAGCCTGGAGCCCAGGTCCTCTGGCGGCTGAGTCCAACACTCCATCCACTACCCCTGCTGTCATTCAGCAAACCAAGGAATAAGTTCTGTGGCAGGCAATATTGTCATTAGCCTCTGGCTTTTCAGATCCTTAAAAAATTTCTAGTCCAATTTGACAAGGGGGAAAAGAGATTACTTTGATATTGCAAGTGTATTCAAGTAAATAAATGATACAAACTGTGCTATTGTTGTGCTGCTGCTGTTGAAAGGCCAAATACTAGGAGTAGACAACACCTGCTGAATCCTGGCCCGCTTTTTCAGTTGGTCCTACAAGAAAGCACAATACTGGGACTTAAATTGGAAGAAATCAGGTGTAGTGAAAAGTATCTATAAAAGTTAAAAAAATCAAAACTATCTGCAGGACCTGAGAGAGTTATTTGTGCATAAGGAGAAAACTAGGTGAACCATGGACAACTGGAAGCAGTTATTTTTGCTGAATTCACCCAGGATTGTAGACTGAATCCAGTTAGGCCATTCAGGGTCACGTTGCCAGGGACCGTGTACCTAACTAATGTGATCAGAATTAAATCATTCACTAGCCTTTTGCAACAACTTCTGTAAAGCTTCTCATTTCAAGCTCCTAACAAGTTAATGAACACAAACCAAGGGAATCCATGACGACATCACAGTTTGTGTGTGTGTGTGTGTATGACTCAGAAAAGTTATGACTCCAGATTTTCCATTCTTTTTAAAATACCGCACTTTTTGAGAGGTAAGGGAAACACACCCAAACACACACACACACACACAC